AAGGGCCCCCCTTCCCTTGGGCCGAGACGGGGGGGGTACTCGATAGGCCGAGCTCGCAGCTCCGCCCGGAGCCGGGATAGGACCCCTGCCGGCTGCTACTAGAGGTAGACTTGGGGGGGCCGATCTCGGAGCCCGGGGATGGTCCCGTCTTTGCCCATTAACCCAGGGCGCTGCCCCATATTTCCGGCGTGACTGACCAAGGGGTCTGATCCAGTACGGCCGTTCTTATGTTCTCATGTAATCACCTGGCCCCTGCGTGCCTCAGTTTCCCATTTTACCACGGGGTGAAGGCAAGTGCCTGGCCGTGCTTCGGAGAGCAGATGTCCCCGCATCCCCAACCCCCTCGCCGCTGTCAACTAGTTAAATGTTGCCCATTTAGTCATTTTTCAACCCCCCCCCCTTCTAAATTTAAATACCCCCATACATTTAGCTCCTGTGGAAAACACTGAATGGGCCCAGATTAGCACTAGAGGTAGCAATCTGGTGCAGAACCAAACCCAAGTCAAGGGGCAGAGCCCAGGTCGTAGCTCCTACATCTTTCTGATACAGTTTAGTGTCCTGCTGTATTCATTGGCACCTTACCAGCCTGTAGGGCAGTGGTCACCAATCAGCAGATTTGGATCCACTGGTAGATCTTGGAGCCCCTGACAGGGGATCGTAACTGATTTGGCCAAGAGGTTATAAAGCCCAGCACTTCAGCTGCCCCCCACAGACTGCTGCACATCTCCCCTGCCCTTCACCTTGGAGCTGGTCCCTCAAGAGCCTCTGCTTTCTGTGCAGGGGAGGGAGAGGAGGGTGCTGATGTTAAGATACCCCCTCTCCCACATTGTATCCTGTCTCCACAGAGCAGAGAAGGGGCACAACAGGGCTTGGGATGGAGTTTGCTGGCTGCTTTTGGGAGTGGTGCAGGGCCAGAGCAGGGCTGAAGCTGCCTTAGCCCCACTGCACCCAAGAGCCACCTGAGATAAGCAGAGCCCACATCCTAAAACCCTACTGCAGTCATGAACCCCCTCCTGCAATCCAGCCCCTTCCCTAGCCCCGAGCAGCCCTGCATCCAAATGCCCTCCCAGAACCTGTATCTAGAACCCCCTCTGGCATCCCAACAACCTGCCCCAAGCTTAGCGCAGAGCCCCTCTCGCACTCCAAATCCCTTAATCCAAGACCAGAGCCTGCACCCCAATCCTCTGCCCCAGCCTGGTGAAAGTGAGGGAGAGTGGGGGAGGAATGGAGAATGGAGTGAGCAGGGGTGGGGCCTCAGAGAAGGGGCACAAAGGAGGCGGAGCCAGAGTGTTTGGGTCTGAGGTAGATTTTGGATTGCACTTAAAGTCAAAAAGTGATCATGTGCTTCGAAGGTTTGGAGACGACGGCTGGAGGTTCAAAGTGACAACCCCCCTTCCCTAAGGCAGCCTCTAAGAATCCTTTATAGTTCTTACAATTAGGCCAGTGCCTGACATTTACTCCCTGCCTCAGTGGGAAAATCTGGCCACAAACAATGTCATCAGGCCCACAGAATCTGCCCACTCCTGCCCCCATCTTACTAGGTGCTCATCCCAGGACCAGATGCACCCATGAAAACCTAAACAAGCCTCCTGCTTTTATTGCTAGCTCGAGCACAATATTCGGTGCTTTTCATAAAGCCCCGGTACCCCTGCGCACATCATTGTGAGGAGAGCCTTCGTTCACTGACAGCTACTAGCCTGCATGGTAGGGCAGAAAACGTTGGAAAAATAAACTCCAAAAGCTACAGCAGCAAAAATGCAAATCAAAAGACCACAGCTGTTATTACAATCTTCATGACGTGTAAACAGGGCTCTTGATTTTTTTGGAACACACAATTGATTTTTTTTAATACAAAGGTGTCGCACTTGCCTATTACTTCTTAAAAAACAAACTTGGGGAAGAAAAAACTCCCCAGAAACTTCAAACTAGGCAATACTGCTACCATATTGGTAAAGATCCATGTTCTACAACGGGGGTGGGGAACCGCAGGCCCGAGGGCTGGACGCCCCTGAGGCTCGCTTCCCGCCAGCATTAGGGAGTCTTTGCTGATGCTCCAGCCCTCCCGCTGCCCCACCACAGGGCTGGAGAGCACAAAATCTACCAGGCGGAGATCCCCTAGGTGTGCGACAAGACTGTGCGGAGTGTCTTTCTCCTTCTCAGTTGGGCGCCACATCAGAGAGGGGGTTTTGTGTGTGGCCCTTGACTGATTTTTCTGTGGGGCAGTGGCTCCCGCCCTAAAAAAGGTTCCCCACCCCTGTTCTACAATATGTAATGTCACCTAATGAGGGGAGGTATCAAGCCCAGCAGAAATGCAGATCGCACTTATCTAATGCAGGGTAACAACATAGGACCAGCTGCCAGAATAGCCTATTTTCATTCTCTTCC